CCCCCCCCCCCCCACGACCTTACTTCTACCACCAACAACCAACATCGATGGCGATGTTCCCGACAAAGTCCGCGAAGTACCAAGTTTCACTCATTCATTCATGCTAGAAGATTTCCAAATAGCGAAAAAACAAGCGGTAGGTGCAGGAGGTCTGTCGACCATCGTCAACAATGCTGATTTCGCTGAAGAGCGGGGTCATATTTTTCGCAAGTGCCCTCAGTGAAGAAGGCTGCCCACAAGCTGTTCCTGGACCCGCATCGCTTATTGGCCGATTTTTTACGACCGACGACTCCCGATCGGTCGAAATTCCTTGGATAGGTATATAGAATATAGATGTCTTGCGGGATTCACGGCACACGCATTCTTTTCGCCAAAGGACCGGTGGTCACTGTTCCTGATGCTGCTGCTGCCGAATCGGCACCAGTCTCCCCGCCGTGTACCGGTTTCGCGCCATCTATCCCTCCCAGAAAGCTGAGTGTATATTGGTTCTCCTGAGGAGCACGTGTGGCAGAGAGGCCAAAGGTGGACGGGGAAAGATCAAAAGCGGTTTTGTTCTCGCTCGCAATGATCGCCTTTGACCTACGTGACCCATCTACGACCAACTATTGTGTCCATCAGCAATTGTGTCCGCCAGCCAATGTCGCATCCTCTATCGAACGCTCTACCAGAAACGGCTCCCATCTTACCGCAAGTATTCGTGTGCGAATGCGCACCCTTTGGGACGAGCAAACACGAGAGACAGTGTTTCCGTCACACATGAAACACCGTTTCCGACCACCACCCACGACGTAGGCCCTGACCAGCACCAACACACAGATTCAAAAAACAGACACAAACGTAGAGATACATGCTTCGTCATCAAACAACGCGATGAGCTCATTGCTCATCCCTGGCTCTGTTATGTGTGGAAGAGATGAATTTTGTCAAACAATACCTGACAAAGCTTGAAGAGGTCGGTCTGGTGACTCGTGAGCGCTCTTTGGAGGGTCCTCATCACCCCCGCCGCCCTAGAGTCAGACGCCGCCAGGCCTCTCAGGAAACCCCCGTGGGCCTGCAGCGTGGACAGGCTCCAGGTCAAGTGGAACTCCAGCCGAGGGGAGTGCGTCAACCTGTCCGATGGCGAACAAGAAGACCTAATTGACTTCCATTGCAGCAGCTGCGTCCCACTTTTTGGACACTCAACTCATGTTTTTCGTACCGCCTAGATTTACAACCAACCTCGAGGTGCGAGAAGGCTTGGCCTCTCTGACGTGCGAAGCGTTGGCGGGGCTCAAAAGAGTGCACGCACCTGTCGGACCACTCGCATGTTGACCAAGGACTTCCAACTCGCAACACTCCCGGCAACAAGAGAAGCAAAAAAGCTAGCTACCCCAACCTCAATAGCACCAACTACGGCGCCAACACCACCACCGCTCACAACCATAACAACAACAACAACAACAACAACAACAACAACAACAACAACAACAACAACAGTATCGCCACCAACGACTCCTCTCTCTCGACAACAAAACCAATAAACAGGACAGCCACCAACGACCTCTCTCTTACCTATCCGCCACCACCCCCAGCAGACGCAACGCGTACGGCGCGGGGACCGCCTTGGCCGTGAGAGGCACCTCGGACAGCGGTACCGCGTCCACCGCCTTCTCTCGCAGCTCTCTCTCGTTCAGGTGGAGGGACATGAGCAATGCCTTGGCCCATTCTTTCCTCCCAATAGAGTCCTGAAAGATAACCACGGCAAACACTGTTGTTTTCGTCCATAGGTGTGTTTTAGAAGTCAAACGACAGGTCTTGAGGTCTGGCAAACTCTTTTCTAAACAAAACCAACAAGAACAACACACAACAACAAAACCAACAAGAACAACACACAACAACAAAACCACAAACAGCACCAACAAGAACAACAGCATTGGAATTTTTCTACCTAAAGCGTCCTGAAATAGTTAACACAACCACCACCACCGAGCCCCAACCCACCTGCACAGCCTCCGGCGTAACGGTCTCGTCAAGATCAGAGGGGTCGAACACAGCCGCCTCGTCCAGAGAGTAGAGCAGCAGGCCGTCGGTCGTGCAGGCCGCCCACTCCCGCCCGGTGGGGCTGAACCTCACGCAGGTAGACCTAGCCTCTTCTCGGGTACGCCGGGAGGAACCGTCGGCACCACGCTCCGCACCTAAACAAAAAAAAAACGGGGGGGGGGGG